TGACCAAACTGTGTAGGTTTTGTAGCGGATGAATACATATGGCTGATGCCTTAAAACAATCATAGTTATAAGTTCAGAAAGCTTTAAGACTTTTTCCCAAGTGAAAGGATTCTGACGGGGTGCCGCAGAAGTTTTCTGTCATTGTCTTCCCACCGGTGTATCGATTGACCAAACTGTGTAGGGTTTTGTACCGGGTGAATACATATGGCTTATGACTTGAAATAATCATTCTCGAAAGCCTTTGGACTTTTCCCCATGTTAATGTGATTATGAAGGGATTTCAGCCAAGTTTTCTGTCATTGTCTTTTTTCCCAACGCTGTATTGATTGCAATGATGTGTAGGCCTAGGGTTTTGTAGAGGATGGCTTATGCCTTCAAACAATCATAGTGATGATTCCTGGAAGCTTTAGGACATCTTCCCGAGTTGAAAGGATTCTGACGGGTGCCGCAGAAGTTTTCTGTTATTGTATTTTTGCCCAGTGGGGTGTCGATTGACCAAGATGTGTAGGGTTTTGCAGCGGGTGAATACATGGCTTATGCCTTAAAACAATCATAGTTTATAATTCCCGAAAGCTTCGGGACATCTCCCAGAGTTGAAAAGATTCTGACGGGATTTTGTCCGAGTTTTCTGTCATTGTATTCTTGCGCAACGCTAGCGCTGCTAAGGATTGCTAAGGATGTGTAGGGCTCTGAAGCGGATGAATACATATGGCTGATGCCTTAAAACAATAAAGTTACAGTTCCCGAAAGTTGTAGGACTTTCCCTCAAGTTAATGTGATTTTGATGGGACTTCGTTTGAGTTTTCTGTCATTGTATGCCCAAAGGGGTACAAATTGCCTAAGCTTTGTAGGAGTTTGTAGCGGATCAATACACACGGTACACACCGTAAAACAATCATAGTTATAATTCCTGGAAGCTTGTCCAAGCTGTGTAGGGCTTTGTAGTACATATGGCGGACGAATACATATGGCATATGCCGTAAAACAATTACACTTGTCATTCCTTGAAGCTTTAGGACTTACCCACTGGTTGATGTATTTTCCATGGAGCTCTCTTTTATTGTATTCTTTCCCCTCGGGGAACAATTTCTACTCTACTCTGAGTTTTTCGGTGAATGTATAAAGTATGGTAGATTCATTCCTCAAACTAAACGACATCTAGCACACCACAGTCCCGACAGGAAGACATATGAGGCCGTATAGTTTCCGTTTAGAACTTTTTAATTCAACCTGTCACAGTTTCGGCGGATGGATACATATGGCATGCACGGCGAAAACAGTTCTTAACGCAAACTTTGGTTCTATAAATCATGTCTCTCAGTCTGCATGAGGATAGAAAAAAATACTTCTCCAACTCGACCTTGCAGCAGCCCAGTTTCGTGGACCACACGTTTGTATTTTTAATTAAAGCATGATGACGAATGCACGTCCTCCATCAGCTGCAGTTATACATCAACCACGTGTCCGCAAAACTTTAATTAAGCTGTCAGGGATCGGAAATAATCGCACCGCCGGCTGAAATGGAGATCCCACGATTTCGATCCGCGTTCACAAAGCCGAGGCGCAATCACGGTGTAATTTCGGTATGATATAGAAATATTGTACCCAGCTATCGATCATGCGGCTTGCAGTGGGTAGTGTTATGCCGAAGCACCTGCGGCGGGAAAATAACGGCTTATTTTCCGTCAAATTAAACACCCGAGCTGCATGAGTACGGGTCAGAAATTATGCGGCTTCGCGGATACTTGGAAATATGGAGAGTAGGTCATTCGTACGATGTGTTTCGGGCAGTAGAATGAAGAAGAACTTTGTTGCACGACAGTTGTAGCAGGTACAACGCATGGCAACTTGTACTGATGCATGGGGCTTCGCCGATCCGTGGAAATAGTGAGATTAAGTCATTCGTACACGGCGTTTCTTCCAACACCAAAGTTACAAACTACAGAGTATCTCTGCCATATTACGTTTAATTGGCACTGATTATTAACCAAATATATCAATACTTTAATTATTAAAAATTATTAATCAGGTTTCATGTGAAATAATCATCAATAAAAAGTCGAAAAAAGCCTACAGGTTTGAGTAAGGCAGCAACTCTCTCTCCTGAGAATTGATTATTTGATTAATTAATTACAAACTGACTACCTAAATGAAGACTGAATACCTTCATATCAGGGCACAAAAAGACGACGACAGACCGTCTGCGTCATACTTCATTACAGTTTATCATTAACCACACAGTAAAGGTTGACTCAAGGTCGCCGCCATATTGCTGTAATTGAAAAATCTCTTTCTCCCCGGGGAAAATCCAGATTGATGAAACTACAATATTTTTACCTTGAAATTCCTGTCAGAAGGAGATGAAATATTACCAGCCTGGAGCTATGTTAGAGAGGCGTTATAGATGTCTCGCTTTGAGGACCTCTTTCTTATGAGGGACTGGTACTTGGACCTCTGAACGAGGAAATATTGCACACATCGTTCAACAAATTTCAGAGATAAAGAAAGACTTTCTCAGCCTCCATGAAACTACAATAACGATCCCATAAATAATGATACTAGCGAACCATTCATAACTGCCATAATAAAGATGACAGACGGTCGTCGAAATACCTGATCTTGTCAAAGTGGTTGTGAACAAAGAACTTTGCTATTCTACAATAAATTTTACCTGCCAGAAGTACATGAATCATTACTAGCCCAAGGTTATGTATAAATAGAGGATTCTGAGGACGAGTTATCAGATAGAAGTCTATTGTTCGCTTACCCTGGAGACAGTCCGCATCTCCCTGGGTACGAGAGCTTAACAGATGGGCACGTTCCCAGCTTCCTGTACCTCCCGGTGTATCTGAGCTCCATCTCTAATATAGCTGTCAGCAGCGGCGGGAGGGAGGACTTTCATCTTTCAAAAAAATTGAGACTTTATTCCTGCAGGGCTCGAAACACTTTTTTCTGCATACCTGCACTAGTGTGGGTTACATTGAAAATTACCTGCACTAGGCAAATTTTTCCTGCGCCGCCCGGAATAAGGAACTTCGGTATGGATCATACTAAAACTGTTTGGAAACACAGTTTCAAATTGATCAGACAGTATCAAATACGCCACCCAAAGTTTGGCTGACAAAAAAACACGATAAAAAGACCTAGAAACATATCAAAACTAAACCGAAAGCCTGGACCTCTGCTAGAAGAGTAGGTTTTGTTACCGATTTTGATCCACTTTTCCGCCAGATTAGGAAAACCATCAGGCGAGAAATCATCCCGAGATGGCTTCATTTTCCACGGATCCCTTCCCGATTCTTGATTTTCTGTATCGATCCGCCATTTTCTCTATTTTCCAGGTCAGCTGATCCTCCTGCTGCAGTCATGCAACAATGGCGAACAGCGGGTCGGATTTTACGACACCGTTCTGGACGGTTTGCGGCAGGTCCTGGAGGAGATCTCGGACGTCGCCAACCGGACGCTACCGGAAATAGAAGCCAGGAATCCTGGGTACTACGAACAGTTCCTCGAGGTCGTGAACAAACCGTACATTATCGAGGCGTTTCCCAGAACTTTGGAAACGCAGGAGTGGGCTGAGCAGTACAGACCGTCTGTTGAAAAACGTCTGCCGACTTTTAACGAAGAGGAAAGTGACAAGTGCATGTCTTACATGATGGGCAGCAAGATTCGTGGACATCACACGTAAGTAGGCAAAGAACAGTTTAATATCAAGCACTAACAAAGATAAGTAAGTTTAATTTTCTTGTGGGGACAGATATGACAAAATCGCCGAACAGGTGTAGGGTGCCATCTACATCAGGGCACACCAACTTGTGAACGTTCTCTCAACCCAGACGGGGGGCGGTACCGACTTCCGACGAACTTTGACCCAGTGCTGACGTAAAAAACGAAGAAAACCACTAGATTCCAGTTAGTCAATGTTTGTTTTTTCAGCTGCAGCTGGAGAACAATTTTAATTTGATTATGTCATGATGTTTGATGTTGACTTGTTCTACATGTACAGGAAGGAGATCCGGTGCACCATTACAGAGCGGTGCTGGAACCTGGTCACCATACCCGACACGTCAGGCTACATCATCACACACCAGCTGCTGTATACAGTCCTGGCGGAACATGTGAGGCAACATTGCTTGTATGCTCTTTAAGCTGCAGTATGTAACAATTGGATGATGCAAAAAGTTAACTTTCTTGCCATGGTTTTGGATATGAGTGGACTATCCTGAACCGTCCTTAATTCAGCACTATGCTCAGGACGGTTCTGGATAGACCGCGTGTATCAAGAACCACCATGCCTGGTGCAACTCCACGTTCATGGATACGTGGAGACAATCCAGGACTGTGCTTGAGCATGAAATTAGATAAAAGCACGGTCCTGGATACGCATAGACCATCCAGAAAAGTGCCTGAGCATCAGGAACTAGATAAAACTGGTTCTGGATACAATATTGCCCCCTCAGGTCGGCTGCACAAACGAGTTGAACAGTTACGCCAGACAGCAGGGTTTTCTGGAGGGCGTTCCCGGCATGCAGCGCGGGCGTTGTTCGTCCATCTTGTCTCAGGCTGAGTTCCTGGCGAGTAACGGACCTCCTCAGCCTGAACAGGACCTCTTCATGGAACAAGGTAAGGTACTGGTCATTGTGGAACAAGGTAATGCACTGCTCAAATACACGGGCTTATATGATGATAATCCTTATTGCATATTCATGTACCAAAATGGCTTAATGCAAAGATGGCATTTGGTCTACAGAGGTGTAAAGTACTAAAATCTAAAGAATTAAACATTTTTTGAAATAATTGAAAACAACTATTATGAAGAACACTTTTATCTTCCTCAGACTTATTGTGGATGTAAACAACTGGTTGAAATTGAATCTTTTGCCAACAGAGTCTTCCGAGGTCAGATGAGCCCGTTGGCCACAATGGAGCAATCCTTTGGCCACAAAAGAGAAGAGTCTTCATGGCAAGAAAAATTGTCCTGTTTGATAGAATAACTTGAATGAGTCTTAAAGTTTTATTACCTAGCTTATCCATTGAAATGATTGAGGACTTTGTGTCTCCACAGCTGTGGTGTGCGGCATGCTGGGATACACAAACTTCCTGCGCCCTGATTGGCTACAGAAGGTGATGACGTGGCAGAGGCCGGACGGATGCTTCGGGAAGGAGATGAAGGAAGAGGAGGACGAATTGGTGGAACAGTTACACAGTCTACCTTTTCACGCACACAGTCTTAATGGGAGTACAGAACACAGGTAATACATGCACATCAACTTCTAGCCTGGTATCCTTTCCAATGCATTGTACCTTCAATCTGATCTTCTGATCACTTTTAGGAGTGGAACTAAAATAGGTTGTTCAATAGGTGAACTAAAATACTTTAGGTAAACAAGTAGTTCCATAGTCACCCAAGAAGAAAAATACTCCAATACACTATAAACCTAAAACTCTATAAACACCTAGCCATATAGGGTATTTTAAACGTCAACATACATCTGTAATTACCCCTGACCAGTGTTAACAATCATATTCTTTTGATGATTATTACAACGAAGGCAATCATTTAGTGTTGCAAAATGTATTTCCCACTAAAGTAGACTGTTTTTAATTGTTTCCATGCACTTACTTTCAGGCCACAGACGAGATCGCCAACGAGTAGAAGACTCCTTGTGGAAAGGCTAATGCACGGTGGGGCTAATATAATCCAGCCAGATGTTCAAAATCATTTCTTTTTTATTTTTGTGTTCAGTCATAAGATAAATTAAGTTATTATCCAGTTGCATCGATGTTGTTGTTGTCTTTGTTTAACGTCTAATATGTCGCTAGACGTGGTCTCTTGGTGCTGGTTTGCGCTAGGTTCAGTTCAGAGCCTCAATTGTCTCTCTAGGTATTAACTCTTGGTGCCTTGTGCTTGCGTGATGCTGGAAGTATTAATACAAACTGTTTGCCTCATTTCCAGGTGGTTGTTTGTCCCACAAGAGCGGACTGGGCACGGCTCTACTCGCCATGTACGCACGCGCAATGATAGACCCCACGTACGGATGGGAGAGTACACAAGATTGACGTCTGTACGAAATCTAATAAAAATGTAGAATATCATTTTTGCCTGCTGTGTTATTTTTTCTAACCGTCATGAGCACGAACCGTCACGAACTTTAATATATACCGCAAGGAAATGCTTCAAAGATGTTTGCATTGACCTTATAAAGGGAATTAAGGGGTTAGGTTAAAAAAAGACTACTATACTCTGCTGAATATATCACTATAGTCAGGCTCTTATCCGTATTCTATCACTCTGTTACAGTACGACTACGAGATAGCCGTTTGAAATTCACATCAGGGTTTTACCTTGATCCATGAAGTTATGTGGTTGAGGGCAACCAAAATCCGTGAATTCATTCTGCAGAGTTATCTGCCGAGGACGTGTTTCCTGTTTGATCCTGTTTACTAGCCTCTACTGTACCGCTACTCGTAACGTCCCAATAGAGAGTACATAAACTTGTAACGTCGTCCCGGAGGCTGTTTGTATCTATTGATTCCCGCCAGGATGTTGTAAAAACCAGATGTAATCACGGAAAGCCCGGAGGCGGACCGTATCTTTTCTGTTTTACAGACTTTCCGACGTGTTTGTGGCAAGTTTTGTTGATTTGGGAGGTTTTTTTTAACAACCCGGTAGGGCAGGTTTTGTACGTAGCAGATGGTATAATTTGGGAGACCATCAATCAGTGTACTCGTATGAGTCAAGCCGCAAGCGCAAACCTAACACCGGGTTCTGCTGAGATTTATTATAATGTTACCTTGATATCAGCATAAACATGGTCAACACCGGTCCTGGCCCTGTTCTGTGTTGAATTTTGTAACATGGCTGACAGCCTAAATGTAATAAAACAATTTTTTAACATGGCGAAAACTTTTGTAGCACCACCTTCAGTACACGAAGAAGAAAAAAATTAGATTCGATTTATACCGTTAGATACGTAATACAAAGTATTTCAATTTATCAAGATGCTTGATTTTTTTTCTATTCTGTTATGTTCTACCTGAATGTCTTACTTCATGGTCGTACATGTATGATTTTAGTTATTATCCAATCGGGTCATACAATTTTATGACCTTTTGGTAACAGGTTGAGTGGGGGCCTGTGTGCATTGGTCCTCAAAAAACGATATTAGAAACTTTCTTGCCATAACGAATTAACCCCACTTCAGTGATCCTTGCTGACTGAACACATCCGATAACTACATTAACTTCTTTCAATCGATCTGCAATCCCTGCAATAAATTGGTCAGGTTTGAGTGCTTGCAGAAAAAAACTGTTTCAGTGCAATTATGCTTCTTTCATATTCTTCAATTAGAATGACCATCTGGAGCAATTGGAGCGTGCCCTCATAATTTTGAATATGTTCATGAAACTCAAAAAGGCTTTAAAAAACGACGTACAATTATAGCTAAGAACGTGCTTTGTTGAATGTTGGATGAAGATAGTAACGTGTAGCAAGACAAAACCAGGTACATATCGAGGCAGCAAAACCCCGAGAGCCAAGGGCGATCACGTTTGCAAAATGGGCATGGAAATTCTCCACCAAAAATGCAAAACAAGTCGCACCCTCTAGCTAAGAATGTATATTGCATGCAGAATGGCGTGTACAAAAAGTAATATATTGTCGATGCATGCGATAAGTCCGGACAGAGAACCCTTTACGACGGAAACAGAGCCAAGGGCGGGCGGCTGCATGATTCAACGTGCAGTCAGAAAAAAAAATCGAAGAAAGACTGATTGAAACTGCAGGACGTTTCCACATATAGTGAGGTGATGGGAGGACATTTTCTAGATGGTTGAAGATTACACAACGCTATATCACCGTGAGCCATTGTACACTGATAGAGCCATATTTGTTCTGTACTCGGTGGGTTTTATGGCTCTCCCGTGAGACTATAGCCGTATTTTCAACAGGGCCTGAGGCCGACTCGCCGGATTGAAATGGGTCAAACCGCTTGGAGGAAGGGAAAAGTGGTAATAACACAATTATGGGTGATGAAATACAGCGCCCGGCCCGATCCATATTCACCCCAGCTTTAATCACATATGGTCCTGTAGCAGCGCTGACAAACGGAATGTTCTGCGAAGTGATGACAACCGAATTTCCTTGACATTCAGTTTTTTTTTCTCAAATGCTAAACGTAGCATTCCGTTCTGACTTTAAGCAATACGAAATACCCATCCGGGAATACGTTTCTATTTCTATTCGTACGTTGCTATTTTTATTTCGTTATATATTTCTATTTTGCTATATATTCTAAAGGATAATTAATTCCAAAGACTTAACATACTCATTTTTCTTGCTACATAACACCCCCGAACAAATTTTTATGTACTGCTAATATGCTTTCCCCTTCACTTACTACCGTTCAAGTCATATTGGAATGATTCAATGATCACCAGGGCCTTTAAACTGTTAAAAGACGTATTAACGTTAGGCCTTAGCCGGTTAAAGAAAAAAAAAGCATCTACTCTTATTAAACCAGTAGTTACTATTGGTACACCATGAATGATAGTAAAAAGAGTAAATATGCATGTAAAAAAGTACATTGGAGATGTACATATCACTTTGACTACTTGCACTCCGCCTCTAAGGCGGGAAGGTCAAAGACCGTTAGGTCAGTGCCCCTGTACTTCTCCGGCCCGGTACACGTCACCCGTGTGTCTACTGATGACGTAGCCTCCTTGTCTCCAGAGTAGAGGACCTGTGGGTTTTGTGGTCATTATTCATTAAACGAGGTAAAAAAATGGGCAGGAAAAAGTGACGACGGACTGAAGTCATGCAACTTGTGCACAAGCCCACAAGAGAGGGCAAATTCTGTGAGTTTTTTGTTACGTCATTCTGTGTCGTATGTGGTACGATCGTAATATTGTGTAGTTTGTTGATCTTTTTTTGTATACCCTGAAAAACAGGTCGTTATGTACCTGAAAGTTACTGCTCGTGAAATAAATAAATAAACTGAACCGAAACAAATAAATACCTGTTTGTTCCGCTGTACGTACGCGATGAAGTCCCTGAGCGGACAGGAGCAGTCCCACTTGTTCCCGTACAGAGACACCTGCTTCAGGGCCGGCAGCTTCTTCAGGTTGAGTGATCGCGGGTTGAGGTCGGCCAGGCTGTTCTGGTGCAGGTACAGGTTCTGCAGGTTAGTCAGCCGCCAGAAACTCTCCTTCTCGATCTTTGTTATCTCGTTGTTGGCGAGAGACAAGACGCGCAGACTGGCAAGGGTGTCAAACGTACCTGTTGATGGGAAGGAAAATACATTGTGATGATGATGAATTTGTGGAAGTCGTTGTCGAAAATGTATGTTTCAGTGACATCTTACGGAAAATCGTACTAACAATGTGGACAATGTGGCACCACACTCAATTGTTGAATGCCACTGCAATGACAAAGACCAGCAATAGACTTTGAACAGACACACAGTATCGTTAGTATTATAATCATTATAGTCATACAGCTAAGTGAAAAAAAAATTACCACATGAAAAGTTGACTGATCCCCAACATCATTAAAGGAAATGGACATCTAAAAGTGTAGTACCTTCCGCTATGTTGGTGATGCTGTTCCCGTCCAGATACAGCACGGCCAGGTCCGGCAGCTTCCTCAGCGCGTCCTTCGGGACGGCCTGGAGTTGGTTATTGGACAGCAGCAGCATCTGCAGCTGTAGAACGGCGGATAAGATATTATAACTTCATGTAACACCATGTTCCTGGGAGTTGTGTGGCGCAACGGCAGAGCATTTGGTTCAGAACCAAGAGGTCCCTGGTTCGAATCCTGCCAAGTCACCAACCTTGTGCCCTTGGGAAAGGCACTGTAATTTATGATTTACATGACTTTCCTAATTTTACTAAAGAAAACCAAAACAAAAACCAGATTGTGTTATAAATGTTTTCTTTAATTGTACAACACGGGTCTTGATATTTCATTCAATAAATCCAGTGGTATCTGTATACAACAGAATATTGTTCAGTAAGTCATCGTGAGAGGTGCATTTTTAAGGACCTGGTTATTTTCCCAATCGCCTGGACGAAGCTCTTCGCTTCAAGTGACACAAAAACATTTCATGGGGGCGCTTACCTTCTTCAGATGCACCAGGGCGTCCGGCGGAATGTCCCGGATGTTGTTGTTGGACAGGATCAGTTCTGTGGTTGTTGAGGGGATCCCGGCCGGAACTGACGTCAGCCCCTTCTGGTCACAGTCCACTTCCGCTCCACGGCAGTTGCACGGGGCTGTTGGGTAACCCAAAATAAGGTTTACATAATTATTATCTTGTTGTGAATAGCAACTTAACGACAAGCTTGAATACAGACTATGTTATACGTATAATTAACTTTTAATGTAAGGCATAATCTACGCCGTAGGTTTTACCTTATTAGGTTAACTATCATTGGCTACGTTGGACTTTGATGATGATTTGGAGTAAAAGAAAACATGGGTAAAAAAATCGAACCTCCTCACCTGGGCATGTTTTGTCCCCCGCGGAATCCGGAGTTTCCTCCCTAGGGACGCACAAGTCGTCCTTACTGAGGGTGTGGATCTGGTCTCCCATCAGGTGCTGAGGGAGGAAACAAACGTTTAACTAGAAAGCATTTTCAACAAATAAAGCTAAATGCATATTTTTTTGCCTTCAATGGCGTGGTCTAGACTAACAAATACTGTTCTGTCTATCCTTACTCAAAGACATTCATATATGGTGACCATCCCCTCCGACTCTGTCCTGCCACTTGCTACATAATGCAATCCTACAGCACCGGGTGTCTGCTACAGCACATTTATGACAGACGCCTTGTCTAGATCACTGCAGAAGAAAAAAAAATGTGTTGTCCTTTTGCGAAGGTAACCATGATTACCGCCCGTACGTACCTGTGGTCTGGCACAGATGGCCGGCGGTGTTGGCACTCCGCTGTCGAACCTCAGCTTGTTGGTGTGTTCCCCCAGGAAAGTCGTCAAGTCCGCCAGTTCACAGCTGCACTCCCAGTCATTACCGTGTAGGGTTACCGCTTCGAGCTGACTCAGGGAACGCAGCTCATCTGAAAGGAACAGATATCTTATGACGAAAGTTTTAAATTTCATTTTTCAGCACAAGAAATGCTTTCAACTGTACAACTCCTGTCTTCGTTAAGGAATGAGAGATCTACGACTATACATCTGCAGATGATACAGGTCACTCGGTGAGTAGTGGATCATAGGTTGTAGAAAGTCTGTGGTGCCCCTCGTCTTTGTTGAGGGACCATGTAAAATGGTGATTCACGACCAGACGTACCTCCCGGCACGTGTGTGAGGTGGTTATGATGGAGGTGGAGCCACCGCAGGTTCGCTAACGGTTTGAACACGCCAGGAGTGATCTCTGTGATGTCGTTACTGTCCAGCTTTAGCGACCAGAGCTGTGGGGACAACCAGCACAATGCCGTTATGAGAAACTTTAAACTGTTCACCGAAATTTTTAACCGAATCATTCCTTCTTTCTCAGCTTTCTGACCCGGTTGCTAGATCACATGCTGCAGGTTTTCCAGACTCACTCACTCACTCACTCACTCACTCACTCACTCACTCACTCACTCACTCACTCACTCACTCACTCACTCACTCACTCACTCACTCACTCATTCACTCACTCACTCACTCACTCCCGTACCTGAGGCATGCCGATGAAGGCCCCGGCAGACAGGGACCTGATCCTGTTGTCCAGCAGCCACAGCCTCTGCAGGTTCTCCAGACCGTCAAACGCCCCGTCCTCGATCTTCTCGATGTGATTGTCGTCCAGACGGAGCTGTCGTAAGTACTTCAGGTCCTATTATGGAAACAGTAATGGTGAAAACGTACTCACGGTATATCATAATCATTCACTGGACATGTTTTATCATGATCATCCCTGGTTATGCTTACTTGAGGTAAAATAATGATACATGTACTTGCACATGTGATGATAAAAGATGGTATACAAAAATGATTTTCTTTAAAAAAACTTAGAGCAGGTTTCATCATCAGTATATGGTTTATTTTCTGTCATCATGTCTTTTCTGAGTCGGTATTGAGACGATTCGTGATCTAAAAAAAATTCAATCGCTCACCCTTAGATTATTCTATGATGGATTTGAATTTGTATATAAAACGTTTCGACCTCCCACAGCTAAATTTTGATGAACTATAAATCAGTAGAACTCGTTTGATTGGCTCTATGACAGTTTCCAACCTTGAAGACCTTCCTGGGTAACCTCCTGAGCTGGTTCTGTGACAGGTCCAGCAGCTCGGTCTTGGGCGGCACGCCTGGCGGGATGTCCGTCAGCTGGCGCCGGCTGCAGAACACTTCCGATAGCTCACATGTACAGTGGGACGGACATGCATGGATCTGCCGGAAAAGAAAGGACAAAGAATAAAAACAAAAGTCAACAAACACAAAACACCCTTTAAGGTCAATTCAAAGAAGCTTTATCTCCCCAACACTAACATGCCAACATCTATACATGACAGTCTACATCCACAGTCATTCTACCATAGCCAAACTAAAAGCATAACCTTCTGGCGAAGGTAAAAAATTGATTAAAAAATACAGTATTTTGGACGCCCGAAAGCTAGAATATAACTTACCTGAGCCAATTGCGCCAATATCATGACCAGCAGTAAAAATTTGACAGACACCATCGTCATCTTTCCCAGAGTCCTACCACGAGTCGGTCTGACTCTGATCTATACGGGATATAAAGATTACAAATATGAATCACGTTTAATACTGTATCTATCATTTCTATGTAGATATCTCCACGAAGACGATCTGTCTAAGGACCACCCTCATTGATTGAATGACTACAATAGCTACAATAAGGTGAGGACAGAGTGCCGTTGGGCATCATTTATCTACTATAGCAGAACCACCGGGAACATAACTATCAGGTTTGGAATTAAACAGATGCTAAACAGTTACTAAATGAAGTCTGAAAGGCCTTTGGCACTTATTCATTGTAAGCAAACCAAATCAACCATGAGACATACTATTAACTGTCCAGGGAAGATACAGGTTGTGCTCTTTATTTGTACTTGTTGATCCCCCCCCAACAGTAATGGTATGATCTTTATGCTGTTGGACGACTTTTTGTGGATAATCAGGCGTGCCACCCAGGGTCATAGGTCAGGTATCGTCTATTCGCCACTTCATTGTTGACTCTATTAACTCTGATTTATTCATGACACCGTCAATCTCGATCGTTCTCATATGAGGGCAAGAAAATGCAGTCAATAACAAGTTTAAAAACTTCTCTAGACGTGGCCGTTCTTTAGAAAAGTAACAATTAATGTTGTTAACTTATTTGATGTAACAGTAGCTGAACAGTAGCTATTGCTTTAGCGAAACTAATTGTACCTAAAGGCTTCAGTGGGTGGTTCCTATTCAATAGGAAGGGGCATTTATCAGTCGTCATTTAAGGCCTAGGAATTCATAGTGTGAAACATAACGTGATGTCAATCATACTCAGACGAGTCATTCACACAGTAAGCTATCTGAAGATTTCCACAGTGTCTTTAACAATGGATACCTAAGAAACCAAAATAGTCAACAGTGCAGTTCTAACTTGTAGTGTAGGCCCTATGTAGCCTCTACGAGGCGTCGGACGCCATATATGTACTCCTTTATCCCCTTGCATGTTTTCCGTCTATTTGGGCGATGCCTACTCTTTGCAGTCACGTCCGAAGCCTGGTAGAGACCAGAACCTATACATACGAAGTCGAACGTGTCATGGAGTCTACAGATCAAGATAGAAAGGATTATTGTCATACAAACCTCCCCAGATCTCCGCAGACGTCTCAGCCCCCACCGCCGGAATGTGAAGTGTGCAGGTAGCGGAAATCTGACAGGATTTCTGCACAAAGAACAGCAATGTCGCCCGGGGACATGCGAAAATTGTCGTGCGTAAATTGTCGCTATTGTGTTTACGCGTTGAAGCATACAGTCTCTCACAGGTAACTTGTATTCATTAAGATGTAATATATGTTACAGTTTGGCAGAAACTACACATGTAGTAGAAGAACCTGGGTATCAGTGGTGGTTAAGGCTAAACGTTCCCCAGGCTTTCCTACAGGGGTATAGATAGAAATTCGGGAAAATTTTAGTTTTTTTGAACCCGCTTTGTTAGTCTGATGGAGGCTAAGTGTTAACATTCTTACTGGCTTTGCCCAGTGAGTATTACATGCAATTCCGCGCCTATTCCTCTAGGTGGCGTAGTTTAAACTGTACGAGCAACATTCCTGACCGCAGGGCGACCACGATTGGATTGCTTGACGATACAATTTGTTGAGCAACAGTGCCTATGAATTACACTTAACTTAAACAGGGACATTTACACAATCAGAATCAGGATTCTGTACTTTACATGAATAGTAGGGGCACAGACAAACAGAAAGCGGCCAATATATATGTAAATCCCCGTGAAGAATAATAGAGATCACAGGTTGCTCCAATTTCTCGCCAGTTCAGTCTATTCGCATCGCCTACTTTTGAAGAACGATTGTGGGCTCGGAGAAAAATTGTCGCTTGGTCCAATTGGCCTCTGTGACACGCACTCATTTGTTCTGCCAGCTGCGGAAAACAGGGAAGGCTCACACTCCACGGACAAGATTGGAGAGAAGCAGGCTTCTATTGGTCTGTAATGGGTCGGGAACAAAAATCGAAAGCAATTTTGTAGTTCCCGATAGTTGATATATTGTCTGGCGTGTTTTGTGTAGGGTCCGGGGTGACTGTCCTCACGGAGAGTACCGTATGTACGGTATGATGGATGTTGTCTCTCAGACGATAGATTTTTCTTGTTCAGAGCAAATAATTTATTACTCCAAGGGACACAGACCTGTGTGCTTTAGGGCGGAGTTCTTTCCGGGCGAAATATATTATTGAACATATCATCATGTACATCATACATCATGCTGATATTTATTGCACTTCTGTCACCGGGGATATGATTTATATTCAATCAAAATGAATTTTGCTAATTTTTGGTACCGTATGGAACATTTGTTTTGCGACAATCGAATGTTTCAAATGTTCAAATGATTCGTATAGTTGAGTTGAGTATAGAAAGATCAGCCTGCTCCTGAACTTAAGCTAACCTTGGTTGGTTGGTCGGTATATAGTCGACGGAAGGTTCTGAAAGTGTGACAGGGGCTTAAGGCTGTGTCAGGCCCTATAGCTAGATCTTTCACAATCTCCTGTCGCCAGAGGGCGTGGCAGACAGGCACCTCACCAGTGTCTCCTTGTAGTACGAACTTGGGATTGATCTCCTTCCTTTCTATGAAAATCAACCGGCCGCAAAACAGTCAATTGTGTGTGAGTTGGAGCGTGAATGGTCACGGTGGAATGGTGATTATTTTTCGTAATCGTACATCCCTCCCTCCTGCGGTGTCTTGAAGATCATTAAGTTCCCGTTCCCTTCCCCTGAACTGAAAACGGTCCAGCCCTCATGACTCAACAGTTCGTGAGAACAATTCTCACCACTGCTAAGTTTCCAAAGCAGCGCTTAATTACCAGTAATTGGCACAAGTATCTAAAGATTTCTCCTGTATAAACACCGGGAGTGTGGGACGAGGTGGGGAACACGTAACCGGACAGGAATCTGCCGCGGACTACATGTAGATCATTTTGGAAAAAGACGATCAAGATTGTGGACTTTTCACAAATATATTTCACTCTTTCCTTGTCTTTAAAAACATTAACACGCGCGTTTTAAATAGTTCCGAAAGGGGTGGGACTGAGAGGTCAGAGACGGAACAAAACACCCGACAGCTGGATAAAGAAAGCAATGTTCATCATGATAGTAACTGCGGTCAATGACTTTTACCATGACTTGTCTTCATATGCTTGAATTGCTATTGACATGCACTTGTTCTTACGACAGTAAGGGCTAAAGGCACTAATTGTGGAGTGTCCTGTGCCATGAAACAAAATAACGGCAATATCCTCTTATCTGTACACGACCCCACAGGCTACAAACAGTATAATTGTGTTATAGTATTTTGTGAGATCTCCCGAAGATGAAACACGGCAGTCTCTGCACTTTCCGAGAAACACCTTGACGTAAAAAATGGCCTAATGGTGAAAATGGAGACGAGAAAGGCCAGCAGGGTAAAGACACAGATGTACTCTACATCTGCGGGAAATTGCTTTTAAATCAGAGAGTTAAAGTCTCCAGCACTTCTCAGAATGACACCGACGGAAAGAGCAATCTGCCCTGAAAAGTGATCTGTGAAGGGCAAGTGGAGACAACTGGTTCTAATCAGTGTTAACACCCCCTGACAAGGAAACGGCTTCCGTAAAGTCGGAAAAACACTCGGCAGAGTCAAGGAGAAGGCCAATTGAATTGGTACCGACTGGTACTAATACCGAGAAAAAAGGAAATGACTTTTGTACATACTTCCCATTGAAAACACATCGAGTCCAACTGAAGAGGGAGAAATATATTGCACAGTCGGATGTTCCGTGTCACTGTGGATGAACATGGGAACAGTCTGTAGCGAGGCAGGGCGATAATATTTGGGATCAGCTAACAGACCGTGAAATGATGTGCAGGTGCATGGCAGGATGGGAGAAAAACACCACTTTCCAAGTAGCGCACCTTATTGAATGGAACATAAAGTCATAATACGGGACATTATAACTAGAAAGCTTTAAACAACTGCAGCAATTAAATGTGCAAAGATTGGGTGTAACAAGTCGTTTGGTGTAATATATCTTGCTTGCAGCCGCGCCGCGTGCCTGCGAAGTTGGTGTGTTATGCCAAAGGGCAGTTATACCTGCTAAACTGATACAGATGATAATGGAATTCTTTTGAATTCTCTTCTGTGTCTTAGGGTTTTGGTAGAGGACAACGCCCTTTTTACCCGGTCATTCATCCACTAATATTGAACTTGAAGAAAAGCTGCCAGGTGGTGCGTAGGAAGTCAGCAGTTAGTTGTATATTTAGGGATGCCAAGAATGTAGGAAAGCAGGTTTAGGTCAGTAGAGCGAACATCTTTACGCCGCAGGAATTTTGATCGAAACAGTACTTGTAAATCTTTTCCACAAATACATCGTTGTGTACATGCACTGGCAAAGCACAGTGAACATCTGAGCAAAAACTTAAAACCATCAAGTTAAAGTGAGTATGGCTATTAATTATAGAATTGCAGCTGCCTAAAAAAACTTGCAGAGCTACGGGACTGGGTGAGTGAGTGAGTGAGTGAGTGAGTGAGTGAGTGAGTGAGTGAGTGAGTGAGTGAGTGAGTGAGTGAGTGAAAAAACTTTGGAGAGCAAAGTGAACCAGTAACATTTAGCTCATTGCATACAGAACCGGTCATAATTGCCACACGAAGATGACAAACTGTCATCAAAAAGCCAGCTCTTGTTAAACAAGTGCTTGTGAATAAAGAACTTTGAACAATGCTATTTATTGCTAGAAAATGATAACATCCAACAGTCCAACTCGATGAAGCTTAGGGGTGATGGGCGTTGTCTCTGTCTTTGAAAGTAGCCGGTCGACGTCCTTGGGTGTTGCTAACTATGGAGTCCTGGATGAAAACAGACGACATGTGCCTCCCAGACACGGGCGTGCGCCGAAAACAGTCCAGCTCCAACCAAAACAGATCCCGTAGCTAAGACAACACGTAGTACACGGGAACCACTGCGTGTT